AAATAGGCGTTAGGTTAGGGCGATGATGGACGACTGGTAAAGGCCAGGTCGTTTTCATTTTTTTATAGATTTTGTAAATTTCATTTTTCAGCTTTATTATAGTTTATTTCATATTACATTTCTTAAATAGTATTTTTGTATGTAACTTTTTTTTTTAACAATTTAGCGGCAGCATGTAAATGTTACGGACGGTTTGATGTTTGACTTAATTTGTGTAATTATTTATTTTAGAATGTGTTTGTAATTTTGATACTGTTGTTTTTGTAATATTTTCTTTGTAATTTTTTATGTATAATTTAATATGTGATTGGCATTTTTTTTAAGGGGGGAGATAATGTGGTGTATATGTGGGTATGCCAATAATAATGTACCGTCAGTAGTGATAATAATAAATCAGTCCAGTACCAACCGCCGTTTCATTAACACCCCTACATTACAAGTACAATAGAAATGCTGTTGATTATTATCGAAATTTATCAGGCAGTTAATTTTTTTGAATTCATTATTGGCTAAAAATACATTCAATATCACAAAACAAAATGAGATAGACAGCAAAGAAATCCTACAATTATACCACCTTTGCTTACAAAAAAAAAGATTTTTTAGAAATTCACTAATGCTTTTCTTTTGTGTCATAGCTTTATTAACATACCTAAAACCATGGGCCTCCACATAGTAAGGGAGGGGGAGGGCACCCATAACCCAACAAATATAAAAAACATACAATAACCATGTACTTTAAATAGAACCATATATTAAAGGTATATGCCCCTAGGCCTAGCCAGAACATAGACTGGCAATACCTTAGCCTATAACATACTGTGTTTAATGTTAAATAAATAAAAAAGTACTTACTTTAACTTCTCCCTTTTCTGTGACAGTAACTTGGTAACATGGTAAAGAATCAAAACCAGGGAAGTCTTCAATATCACCAGTTTTCAAGTTAAAGCAAGCTCCGTGCCATGGACACCTGACCCTGCCATCTCCTAAGGCTCCAGTAACCAGTGGGGCTCCGTAATGTGTACACTTGGTGCCCACCGCACTGAACTCCCCCTTTTGTTTAACCAGCAGCACTTTACCATCCTCTCCTATATCAAATACTTTCATCTCATTTTCCTTTAGATCATTTGCCTTACAAACCACAGATTCCACATAATGGTTTGTTGAATCGGTTCGTGATATTGTCCCACCTGTTGATTAAAACCTTTAATTTAGTTTTTTCTGTAAAGTTCGAAAAAATTGTTTCTATTTTTTTCTACCACTATTAAGAGTTTTGAGCTACAAATAATTTTTATAAAGAAAAGTACCCTTACTATTTTAGCATAAGCAAAAAAAAAATTAATTACCAAATATTACATATATTGAAATGTTAGATTGTAACATAATTCGTAAGAAATAACTGAAAAAATACTTTGCTACGAATAATTTATTTGTTTTACACATTTAATATCCCTTCGTGTATTTTATATGTTATATTTGCACTATTAATTATTTACTTACGATTTCCATTTTCATTTTTACTCGTTCCACATTTAGGGGAAAAGGATCTTGAAGTTGAAGTTCCCATAACTTTATTTGTAATCGAATGCTCTGTAATAAATGTAACACACGTTCAATACAAGTCTTCACCACCGCGCAACTAATTAATAAATTTAAAATATGTTGAACTGATTACTTAGTAAAAAGATAAGTGGAATCTAAACGGCAAATGTAATAGAAAGGAATTACCTTGAAGAAAACAATTCGCGACCTTATTCAAGTTAAAGCGGCGGCGGAATACAAACATTTTTCCTGTTCTGCACAGAATAAATATAACTGGTTTTCGAAATAATTTTTATTCTGCTTGGAAAGAAATCTTTTAGAATGTTCCGTTGATTTTAATATATTACTCTTTTTCTTATGTAATAGTGATAATTTTATATCGATAAGCTTTTTTAAAAATTGCGCAATACTTTCAACGTAAATACAATCGGATTTAATATTAAGAAAAAGAACTAAATACAAAGTGCTTTTCGTAGAAGTATAAAGGTTCCTTTCTAAATTACTTAGTTTATTTCAAATCTCGTTGATAAAATAGGAGTCAACATCCATACTTACACTTTAATTGTTAACATTGAGTAGGAGTTTAAAGCAAAAGTTAAATTAATAAAAATTAAACAAATGAAAATAGAAAGACATTACTGTTCTCAAAATAGTATTGAGATGCTTTATCTGTGACTTGAGTATGAAGTTTATGAAATTTACATCTGGCAACTCCATTGATTGAACACTTTTCTGATTATGGTGGATGACAGACGTGGCTCGGTCGGTTAAATATATTATGATTTTTATGTCTAAGTGAAATTATATATTTAAAAATGTCGGATGTAATTGTACCGAAGGGTCAACCAGCTCCCGGGGATCCCGAAAAAAAAGGTTGGCTGTTTAAATGGACTAATTACCTTAAGGGATATCAACGAAGATGGTTCGTGTTGTCAAATGGACTATTATCGTACTACAGGTAAATTTTAAAGAATGTGTAAGGTTTTTGTTGTATCGTTGCTTTGATAATGATGTCACTAATTAATTTCATGAATATGGAAGTATCAAATTGGAATTTTGCAGCGTATTGGTTTTCGGCAATGACGTATTTTGTGTTTTTCCTATTTTTAGCTAAAACTTGGGATTCTATCAAATACCTTTGCTATTTTTCTATTAGTAGAATATCAGCTGGCGTTAATAAGCTTACGTCTTTGCCGCACAAATGTTCCCGTATTTAATAGTGGTTACTAGACACAAAAAACATATACATGTTTTAAAAAGTACTGAAGACTTCGAAATAGATTTAATACAAGATTATTTTTTTAATTAGAAGACAATAATCGAGCCATTATATCTTAACTCACTATTTTTGTTAGAAAAATATTGTGTTATGCAACACTATTTTTATTTAATGTACATCAATAAACATATGTTTAATTGTAAGAAAATTTCTTATGTCCATTTAGACTAAGGATATATTAAAAGAGATGTATTGTATAATATAATGAAAGAAATGACAATCATACTAATATTATAAATGTGAAAGTTTGGTTGGATGGATGAATGGGTGTCTGTTAGAGTTTGTAGCCTAAACTGTTGAACAGATCGCAATGAAATTTGGCATAGATGTAGATGATAGTCTGGAAGAACACATAGGTTACTTGGTTTTGTTCTTTTTTTACTACAAGAATAGATTTGCGGGCGAAAGCTAGTCAGAAATAATACAAAAAATATAATGTTATATTGTTACCAAAAATATTCTGCTCCATAAAAATGGAGATTATTAAATTCCCAGTAATAATAGTTGTACAGAGGTGACCTGTAAGATACTTAACATTTTCTATACAAAATTTTACTGGATTCAGTTGGTTAGAAAAACCCAAAATTAAGCCTACTTAGCTATCCTTAGTATATTTCATCCCTTGCTTGTTACACACACTTAGTTAAGAGAAATAATATTCATTTTTACTTTACAGAAATCAAGCGGAAATGGCACATACATGTCGTGGTACAATATCGTTACTAGGTGCATTGATCCATACGGCTGATTCATGCACATTCGTAATCAGTAACGGTGGTACACAAACATTCCACATTCGGGCCCATGATGAAGTGGAGAGGCAGAGCTGGGTCACGGCACTGGAATTGGCAAAGGCAAAAGCTATGTTAGTTTAACAATTTGGTTTTTGGCTGTACTGCTTGAAGGAAAATAGTTCTATGAAGACCTATTTGTATGTATGAAATACTTTAGGAAGATGATTTTAAAAATATTGGCAAAACCAGGTGGCCATATTCTCATTTGCCACATTATAATATTAAAAAATTCATCCAAAGAAATCAATCTCTGGCCTCTTGGTCCTAACTACTACATTCTGAGTTGATTTATCTCTGTTAGTGTAGATATCATGTTAGAACCCTACATCAAGGGGCTTCCTTGGTTCTCAATGGACATCTCAGAATGTGTGTTACAGTTGTTTTTATCATGTTTTGCAAACAAGGAGATTAAAGATTAAATTCCCACTATTCTAAGCACGGCCTGTGTTTAAATTACATTTACATACATTTAGTGACTATACTACATAATATATTATATTTTTTTATAATAGCCGAGCACAAGAATCAGATGATGATGATGATCAAATGTCAGATGGGCAAGTAGCAGTTGGTGGTGGTGAAGGAGGTGAATCTGAGGATGCTGGTGGAATAGCTAGAGAATTAGCCGCCCGTTTCCATGACTTGAGGACATGTTCTGAACTTGTAGCGAGGCATGGCACAGCCTTACAAAGGTCTTTAGTTGACTTAGAAGTTCCGCCCACTGACACAACTAAACAAGTCTCGGAGAGAGCAACATTGTTTAGAATATCATGTAATGCTATGATGAATGTAAGTACTACATAAGTCTTTTATTTATTCTCAATCTAAGCAGTGATTAGTATGGATAGATGGATAGTAATGGATAATTTATTTAAAGTTCTTAACTACCTTAAAAAGCTACGAAATCTATACTAATATTATAAAAAGGAAAGATTTGTATTTTTGTATGTATCGAAATAACTCAAAAACTACTGGACCAATTTAAAATATTCTGTCAACATTAAAAGCTATGTTATTACTGAGTAAAGTAGGCTGTATTTTTTACTATTATTTTTTTCCATGCTGATGAAGTCGCGACCAACAGATAGTAATTGCTAAAATTGCGGATTATCTAATCATCTTGGCTAGTTACAAAAAGTATACAAATGACCACAAGCAAACAAAGAATAAATGAGAGCTATGCTATTATAAATTACTTCAACTCAATAAATAATATTTCTCAAGGCATGTTCGGAGTTTATGAGTGCAGCTGCCGCGTCGAGCGCGCGAATGAGTCGTGCACTGCAGCACGAAAGGGAACAGAAGATGCGGCTGCAGGAAATCGTAGAGCAGTTGGCGAGGCAGCACGACAACTTGGAGAAGACGGTTACAGCAAGGAGCACCCCTCACACAGGTTAGTGTATTGCAGGTAAATAATATTAAAAAAATACTAAGTTCGACTTTAAAAATCTTGATTTATCCTTATAGTATTATGTCTAGAGACAAGAATAAATATTGAACATGTCTACGAAATTAGGTTAAGCTATTGGAGGTCATAAAAATGTTAAATAACATATCATTTTACTTGTTAGTTGTTTTTGTATGGTAAATATAAAGTACTGGCTAGTTAGGAAGTTCCTAGCAACTAATATCCATCCATCAATCTAAACTTATAATTAGTAAGATAGTATGTGTTATGTTGTTGTATGACTATGCAGATTATTTGGTTACATTAAGATAAAATGTAGGTAATGAATGACTCATGATCCCAATTTTATCTAATCATTCTTTGCTACAGACTTGTTGAGTCTGTTTCGACTTTATTTGTTTTTGTTTTTAATGGTGACCATGTTTGCTTAATTCCTATTACATTTTTAAACATAAAATAGTAATTATGTTAAATATGATTAGGTTTCATACACAACCTAGTAATAAACAACACCTTTGGTATTTTTTTTTGTTTAATATAAAAAATCTGTACTTGTAGGAGAGTTAAAACCAAGACATAATTCTTTATCTGGATTACATCACCACAGATTATCAGATTAATTAGTACTCTATGTCAGTATCTCATAGTAATAGAATACACAGCCTACAATGAAAGTCTTATGCAGCGTGGTTGAATTGACAGATAACAAAATTAACATCATGTCGCATGAATGATGTAATTGGGGTTCACTATATTTGTGTGGATAATCTAGTCTTAGTGCTCTTATCTATTAATCCTTTCGTTCCTAGCCTGTACCATGTAGTATTATTACAATCCTTCTATGAAATATGCAGAATCTAAGAATAGAGATTCAGATAATTTGGCCTTCTTTTTCAGTTCACTTTCGCTGATTAGCTTTATGGCCTACATCATCAGTCTCTTTCTGACTCCCCTCTTTATCTATGCGTTCTTCTTATTTTTAATTTAATCCATGCATAAACGAAATTGATTATTTGACAAAGTTAGTAACTTATAAATTTCCAGAAAAAAAGTCACAGTATAAATTTGCTTAAGGGTCATCTAAATTATCTGCTGGTCAAATAGGTCAATAGATGTCACTGCCATCATGAACACGAAATTGGAGCGGAACGAATCGATTAGTCAGATTTCAATTGATCATTGCTGTGATTGTTCCCTTCTATATAGCATTAGATAAACTTAAAACATAAAAGTTACACAAAAGTGGCTCCTGATGGTGGTTGCTAAATTAAAAAAAAGTTAGGTACTACCCTATCAGCCACTGTACTCAAGCTGTATATATATTTTTATCAACATTAGAATTCATTTACTACTTAATAATTTAGATGTGAATATTAATGTAACGCAAGCTTAAAGTGTGTTAAAGGTTATGGGTAAACAAAAATAGATTCAGTTAAATTCCGCAAGTAGCGTACTAAATTATTTTGCGGAAATAGATAAATACTTTATAAAAATGACAGGAAAAAAAAGTAAACCAAAATTGTGGAATTTGATATATGGCAACATTTAATTTCGTAGTGTCGTGTGACTTACGTGAAACGGAACGCAATCGCAAACGAAATGGTGTGATGGTGACATGGTGACGGAAATCAAATCAGTCATATTAGACGGCCGATTTGTGATCCAAGGCCTTGTTTCATTATCAACAATACAAATTAAAATCTAAGAGTGCTTCAAAATACAAACAAAAATGTGTCAAATGTTTAAAGTCTAAGTGACGTTTAAAGGTACGACTGAACTTCATGACGACAATAATTTAAAATTATTTTTACATCAAGGTTGCTTTACTATTCCAAACTGTTTCAATAATTGATGTATCATCTTTGTTACGTGTATTCGTTTATTTAATTATCATCTTTTAGTTACGAAGTTTCGTCTGTTACATGAAATGGTATGTTTTATGTGTATTTATATCATGCGCGTCTGAATTGATCTTGGCCTTGTGTTTATCTTACGCGGAAAAACATTAGAAAATAAATAATTAAAACTGCATTTGGATTATCATGAACAGTAAGTCATGAATAAATTACAGAATAAATAGGTAAAATCTATGTCAGGGCTTTATTCTTGATTTGTTATTCCTGTTTTTCTCTCTTTATTCTGATTGAATTCCTCGTATTATGTTCGTGATTATTGCATTCTAAAACTATTTACGAATGTTTTTAGTTGTGTCAATTGAATAGATAAAAGTTGGATGCATAGTAACAAAGACAATGACACTGGCAATGTCATCATTTGTTGCAAAACATGATTGCTTTTATGACTTTCATAGTATTTGTTATCATACTTCATACTAATATATTATAAATATGTGAAAGTTTAGATGGATGCATAGATGTTTGTTAGAGTTTGTAGTCTAAACGGCTGAACAGATTTCGATAAAATTTGAACTAGTTATAGAGGATAGTCTTAGAGAACACTTAGGGTTCACACTTTTGTTTTTTTTTTTAAATTTCTTGCGGGCGAAAACTAGTTATTTCAATTTCGATACCTTACTAACCTAGTTTGCTTACATTTAAAATATTTTAGTAAAATGTTAAAAGAATAAGTACAGTCTACAATGTAAATAATGTTAAAGGCCTACTACCATTTGTCCTAATGATTTGCAATGCATCAGTGGAATGTAATACAGATTTTAGTATATACTTAATTATTTTTCAGATCAAATAATACAAGATATGACTTATTATTACAACCTATTTATTAATTACATTGACAGAATATTTTATGCATCAAGAAGTAACCAAAGTGACGTAAATTTTGTTCTTTATTTGTACTGTAAAGAATATTGTAAACAATGTGTTGATCATTAGTTTCACTTTGGTACATAGATAAGAGAATCTTAATAGTTATTTGATAGAATACAATGTAAATAATATTTACTGCATTAATTTCTTTGTTTATTACTTTGTTTCATATGTATATTCTGTCTTAATATTCTTTGTATATTTTTATCATATATAAATGTAGTATTAGTAATATGTTATTTAATTTTAAACAACAGTCTCGTTGGGTTTCTATATATTTTCATACCATTATGGCCTCCTGTAGTCTAAATAGTCTAAGCAATTTAACTAATGAGTTTTGATTTGTATATTCCCCGGAGTGGTAGATATTTGTACTTATTGATTTTAAAATTAACAACTAGTTTATGTATTAACATACTTACTTCATAATATTTAAGTCTGTTTGTCCAATTATAGTCTATACTAATATTATTAAGAAGAAAAGTATTATAAAAAATTATTGGATAAATCATAAATTATTTTGCCTTTCGAAAGCTAAGTGATAGCTATATTTATTATAGCTTTTGCTTGTGTCTTCGTCTGAAGCTAAATAAAAATTATAATAAGTATAGCCTATGTTACTCAGTGATAACAGCTTTTTAATGGTGTAAGAATTTTAATAATCGCCTTGTAGGTTTTAAATTATGCCATTACATTAAAAAATATATAACCTTTTCTCTTTATATCTACATTAATATTATGTGGAGGAAATATTTGTATTTTTGTAGGTATTGAAATAACTTAAAATCTACTAGGCAGATTTCAAAAATTTTTTCGCCATTAAAAGTTATGTTATCACTATGTAACATTTTTTTTTTATTTCACGCGGTCGAAGTCGCGAGGGACGGCTAATAAAGATATAGATTAGTTTTTTTATTCCATGCGGGTGAAAGAACAAAAGCCAGTATGCCATCTTACTTCTTACTATTGTGTTATAAATGCGAAAGTTTAGATGGATGGATGGATGTTTGTTAAAGTTTGAAGCCTAAACGGCTGAATGGATCTCGATGAAATTTGGCATAGAGTAGTCTGGAAGAACATATAGGCTACTCACTTAATTTCTTTTTAATTCCACGCGAACAAAGTCCCGTGCGAAAGCTAGTAACTACTAATATTTTCAACAGGTGGTAACAGTACAGGACAGGGTAACGAAACAGAGGATGAGGACCATGAGTTCTTTGATGCAGTTGAAGAGGGGGTCAGCACTGCTATGGACGATAAGACATCGTTTGTAATCAAAGTGCCTGTAAGTACAGCATCAAAATTATTATTTACATGACTAATATACACTTAGCCTCCATTGTGATAATTATTTTTATGTTGGTACCGGTTGAAGCACATTAGAATATCATTGTTGAATTTTCAGGTAAATAGGAAAAATAAAGTTAAAAGCGGAGAGAGTTCTGACGAATCTGAAGGTGAAACGGTGACGGAAACACAACAGGTAAGTAGCAATACAACAAATTAAATGTAATAATAATACATATAATATCATATCATTAATTATTTATTGCTATTATTGTTTTACATTTGCTTTATATTTACCCTATGATAATGTTTTTTGTAGACTTATAATTAAATAATTAAAAAGATGAGTGATTAATTGGCAATTTTTTTTATGTAAAAGTAATCAATCACTCTCATTGACTTTATTCAAATGAAAATGTGATATAGAATCTCTACAAATCTCAGAGAGTAATCTTGCTTATCTGTGGTAGTATTTTTAATCTGTTTACTACAATTTCATGTGAGTTTACGTTCAATAATTTCGTGTAGATATTTTAGTATTAATTTATTATTTATCTCTGGATTCTCGTCAATTAGTCTGTATGTTCAGGATACAAAATTAACATTTATTATTGATATAATATTATTTTCAGGTAATATTTGTAGAAGACAAAGGTCGCGTGGAGAACAACATGGGCGGTACAGAAGTGAATGTTGATAATACTACAGAGAAACAACTGGACAACAAAGAACAGACTGTTAAAGTATGGGTATGTATTTCATTTTTACATTTAAAATCCCACTGGTCCAGTGCGGGTTGATTTTAACCACACATATGTGGAGGTTGCATCACAATGTTTTACTTCACTGTATGTTTATGTACAGTAAATAAACAATAATGTTTATTGAGTAGTGATATTAAAAAATATTATAAACAGTGTTATGAATCTGTAATCATGAATTTTGCTGCATCTCTCTTATCTCTTTGTAAAAATAGAGACAACAATATTTAGACATCTATAGCTCAGTAAGATTTTGTGGGAGTTGTTTGCTTGTATAGTAACAAAGTAAATCCGAATGACGTCACACAAAGGCCGGAAATATCAACCAAGTGAATATCTGATAGCAGAATGAATCACATGATAAGTCTGCATCAGAAACTTAATTACTTGATATATGTAGTATTAGCTCGCTCGCCACTTTGTCCCCGTGAAATAAAAAAAAATAGAAATTATAGCCTGATGTAGCTAAAAGGAGCTTTTTAATGGTGAAAGAATTTTTTTAATAAAGTAGATTTTGAGTTATTTCAATACCTACAAAAATACAAATCTTTCCTCTTTATAATTTTAGTAGTGTTGTTCTAAAATTGTTCATATAACAGGAAAAAATGTGATTCTAAATGAGCTCGTAATTATTATCAGAATGTGAATAAAGCTTCATAAATTAAATTATTAATATCCTAATGCTATAAACAACTGAATGTTTTATCTATACTAATATTATAAAGAGGAAAGATTTGTATTTTTGTATGTATTGAAATAACTCAAAAACTACTGGGCCGATTTTTAAAATTCTTTCACCGTTAGAAAGATAATTTGTCTGTGAGTAACATAGGCTTTAATTTTACGCGGGCGAAGTCGCGAGCAACAGCTAGTTTGTTATAAACATCTAATTTAAAATTTTCTTGCCCTATAATAAAAAATCTATATCTATGAACTTATTGAAAATTTTACCCTTCAATACATGATGATGCGTTTATACATAAGTCTTTTCTTCCTTACCCAGAAGACTATTTTGAAAAAAAATTTTTTTCTTTTTTTTCCTTCATTTATGTTCAATTTACTACCCATTTCAATTTATGGTATTTATATTCGTGCATAAAAGGTAAAGTGTGGTAAGTGCGACTGTAAGTTACTTCTAGACTAAGTAACATGGATTTTAACTTTCAGCCGCATGTCTCGGAGGTGACGGTGAGCATGGTGGACAGTCACCCGCGCCGAGTGCGCGTCCCCGACAAACCTAACTACCCTTTAAGTTTATGGTCTATCATGAAGAATTGTATAGGTATGTATTGTTGATTGTAGTTATAAATGCCTCTAATTTAATTGTGTGAATTTACTAAAACAAAACAAAACATGCTTTCTGTTTAAATAGTGCTTTGACACCGAAAAATCACCAACAGTCGGAGACTGAAGCTATGTTTAAATATGTAACAGCGTCTAAAATAATCAAAACTTGGTTAATCTCCGAATTTCACTAAAATTTTCACTTCTATTAGATTATAAGCGATTACGAACCGTTTAAGATGCGTTTCAGTATAGCCTAAGTATGAAGAAAAAGTGACAGACTTATGCTCAAATCGAGAATTCAATACCTGGGGAATTTATAGTTGACTGTAAACTCTAAAAATGTTAATATTATTTTTTTTTTTAAAATAATATTTATGAGCTAACACTAATCGGGTCTGTTACTTATTCCAGGTAAGGATCTATCGAAGATCCCAATTCCTGTGAACTTCAGCGAACCGCTGTCGATGCTGCAGCGGCTGACGGAGGACTACGAATACTCCAGCATCCTTGACCAGGCCGCCACCTTCTCAGACCCTGCGCAACAGCTCGCCTACGTCGCTGCCTTCACCGTCTCATCCTTCTCCACTACTTCTAACAGGTATGACATATGTATATTTACTGACTGCTACCTGTACGTATTTACAGTATCTAATAATATTTTGATTAGAAAAAGGAGTACTTTCACTTCGCTTTTGGAAAATGTTGCCTTCACCGTATCATCTTATTAATATAGTAAATGCGAGAGTTTGGATGGATGGAAGTTTTGTTACTACCTAATTTTTTGATCTCGATGAAATTTGACATACATGTAGACCGTCCGTCTGAAAAGACATATGCTACTTTCTACGTTTTATTATAATTCCGCACATATCTTATCTTGGATAATATATGGTTATATCCAAAATTTTACACTGCCTCGCAGTATCGCAAGAAAAGCTAACTTGAAGTATAATTAAGTTTGCAATTTGTTCCAGGACAAACAAACCGTTCAATCCTCTGCTGGGTGAGACTTACGAGTGTGACAGGATGTCTGACCTCGGCTGGCGCTGCATCTCTGAACAAGTTAGTGTACATCTTACTGCCTACTAATGTTATAAATGCGAAAGCCTAGACAGCTGAACGGATTTCTACGAAATTCGACATAGATGTATGCGGGATTCTTTTTGTTTAGCTTTCGAAAACTGCTGGTCCAATTTCAAAAATTCTTTTAATGTTGAAAAGTTGAAAATTGTTTAGAAGAAAATTAGTACCGTGCTGTAGAATTGGCGCAACACTAGATTATCGGCATAAACGTCACGTCCCTAGCTGACAGCTGTCAATGTCACTAGAAGGATGATTATTCGCGAGTTACAATTATGTTAATTGTTTAAAATTATTGAGTGTTTTTTTTTCTATTTCCGCGGGAATGAAGTCGCGAACAATGTCTAGCATTTTATGAAATGCATGTAATATTATAATGAATGAAACGTTTGTATGTTTGCGTGTGCAGGTGTCGCACCACCCGCCGATGGTGGCGCAGTTCTGCGAGGGCGCAGCGGGCTGGCAGTGCTGGCAGGAGTTCACCATGACCACCAAGTTCCGCGGCAAGTACCTGCAGGTCATCCCGCTGGGCGGCGCCTCCGCGCTCTTCCCGCACTCCGGCAACAAGTACACCTGGAGGAAGGTAACCTTACTGCATCTCACTACATCACACTACATCACACTACATCACACTACATCTCCCTACATCACACTACGTCACACTACATCTCTCTATGTCTGTCTATAATAAACAAACTCTTCTTTATGTAGGATCCTTTAAAATTTTAAATTAAAAACAGTATAACAATTTTTTTTTTATAAAAATAGTCGACACACTCTCGATACGCTATATTTTCACGCTATTTAATTTAAGAGTTAAATAAATTGGTTTACTATAGAGACAAAAACTATAAGCCAATAAACTGCTTTGATAATAGCAAAATAGCAATATCGCCATCGTGGGAGTCCTCCATTGTCATTTGACATTTGTAATTGAAATTTTAACGTATTGAAAACATAAAAAAGTTTTTATTACCGGATGCAGCCACACAAGAAGAGCTACTACTACTAAAGATAATTTTTTGATACCTCGCAAAGAGCAACGTAACTAATTAGTCCTTGCGATAGTATTACAAGTAGTTTTGTACGGCAGGTAACGACGACGGTACACAATATAATAGTGGGTAAGCTGTGGATGGACCACCACGGGGACATGGACATCGTGGGCGAGGCAGGCGCGGCGGCGGGCTACGTGGCGCACCTCAAGTACCACGCGTACGGCTACTTCAGCAAGGACACGCAGCGCAAGGTCACCGGCGTCATCAAGGACCCCCAGGGAGTGGTATGAACTCCTTCCGTTCCAGGCTATCCTCAACATTTATACCAAATTTTATCAAGATCCATCCAGTTTAGGTTACAAATATCTAGAAAACAAACATCCATCCATTCAAACTTTCGCATTTATAATATTGTTAAAATATATAAATTACCCTTTTCTGTCAATTTCCATTTAGAGAGCGCGGCCGCGGTTTCTTACTCAACCTAACACACACGGAAAAATAAATGCGAAGCGTCATCGCGTCTATAGCGGGTAGTGTTGCCAACTCCCGCCGATATGAATGATGAGCAGCAACAAATATTAATATTATATGTCTGTGTGTGTGTCAGCCGCGCTACGTGCTGCAAGGGCACTGGGACAGCCGCGTGGAGGTGGCGGCGGTGACCAGCGCCTCCGCAGACAACACCGTCTGCAAGACCGGCAAGTTCCTGCTGGCCTGGCAGCGGGCGCCCGCGCCGCCGGACTCCGACAAGTCAGTATTGTTTAGAACAAAATTAGTACCGTGCTGTAGAATTGGCGCAACTCTAGATTATCATAAACGTCACGTCCCTAGCTGACAGCTGTCAATGTCACTAGAAGTATGGATAGTTTGGCGCGTAACTTGAGTCTTGACGAGAAGTGTTGCTCTGAGTTTAGAGCGACAGTAATAATAAAATAAGTTGTCTACAAGTATCAACATCAACAGCTCACTATAAGTCCCCACCGAAGGGCTTGGAGCCTACCTTAAGTTAGGGATTAGGCTATAGTTCACTACGCTAGCCCACTGCGGGTTGGTTGACTTTACACGTATTTTTTTTATTTCTTCGCCTATATGTACATGTTTGCAATTATTTGCATATGTTTTTTTCTTCATTGTAAAGAGCGTCGGGTAAATTATGTACATATGAAATTAGAAGAATACTATTACTCACGTTTATTTTTTTGGTGCCATAACCGAAAAAATAGATCATAATAAGATAAGATAATACCGTAAAAATAGTCATACTCATTTATTTACTGCAAGTGATCAAAACATCTTTTTTTTATTAGGATTTTTATATATTTTATTTTATGAAGAAATGTATGTGTTTATGCAGATGGTACAACTTCACTGTGCTGGCGGCGCAGCTGAACGAGCCGGAGGAGGGCGTGGCGCCGACGGACTCGCGGCGGCGCCCCGACCAGCGCCTCATGGAGGAGGGGCTGTGGGACGACGCCAACGCGGAAAAGCTGCGTCTCGAGGAGAAGCAGCGCGCCAAGCGCCGCGAGCTGGAGGCCGCAGCGGAGGTCGCTACATATATACACTACGCAACTAATACACCCTGTTTATACTAAAAGGGGGTGAAACGAACGGCGGGAACACCGAAATGATTAGTGACGCCACTTTCAGAACTTTTAATCATTCGATAGTGCTTATTGTTTGATACTTATGGAATGAGATTCCGAACTACGTATCTTGAATGTCACTCGCTAGGTAATTCTTAGTGAATCACTAGGAAATGGTTAAATAAATAGAAATTTTAGACACCCAGCTTAAGCATAACAAATTCTACTATGTTTGATAAACAACTGTATTGATAACTCTAATGACCAATCTCAGATCATGGATAAAAAAATCGAATAACCAGTTTAAGGTTCAAGTTCAAGCTTCAAGTCTAAAAATCATCCATCCAAACATTCCCTTTTTAAATAACTAGTTGTTACTCGTGACTTCGTCTGCGTGAAAAAAAGCCTATGACTATGTTACTCAATGGTTACGTAGCTTTGCAATGGTGCAAGAATTTTTGATATTCACTCTATAGTTTTTGGGTTATTTCAATACATACTAAAACTCAAATATTTCTTCTTTATAATAGTAATATGTATGTTTGTGCTCCAGGCTGCGGCTGCGAGCGGAGCGCCCGCGCCGGAGCCCCCGAAGCCGGTGTGGTTCACGCGCGCCGCCGCGCCCGGTCACGCGCATCTCCGCCATCTCTACACGCACCGCTACTGGGACTGCAAGGCGCGCGGCGCCTGGACACAGTGCCCAGACATATACTAACACCCCCACACCCCCACACCCCCCCACCACCCTCCATCTCATGTGCTAAATAATGTATTATTCAAGAATCCATTATAGTTTGTCTAAATAAGAATGATTAGTTTGATAATTTACTAGAAATGGGTTGTGTGAAATCAGAAATTAATCTTTTTCGTTTACTACTCTCATAGAAGTTGTAATCGATAGATTTATAGCTATACCTTATGGAGTAAAAATTAAAAAAAGTTTGTTACTCAAAGTCAAATTAATAATAAGATATACAGAACAAATGAGAGTTTATAAACATTTATTACTAATACTGTCATGTATATGGAATTCGTAAATCTTATTGTCGTCGCATCACTGTTAACAACTAGAACTGTTACTTAATTTTTTTAATAGGTGAATAGCAATTTTAGTTATATATTTTTTAATCGAATATCGATAGTTCATAATTGCTATGCGCCTATGTTTCGTCACTACCCGTCTATGAAGAACAGAATTTAGCTTCATATAAATTTAATTTTATACTTTATGCGTGATTTATCAAACTAAACAAGCTTAATTAGACAAACTATACATTATTTCATCACCAGCTCACTATACGTTCCCACTGAGGGACTCAGTCTACCCTTTTTAGGGTGACATTATAAAACGATACTCACATTTAGCTAAAGTTAAAAAACAGTTCGACTTATTACTGAGTGTCTGTAGTGAAAATTGTAACAAAATCGCAAAACAATATGAAAAACATACTATATTTTGCATTAAACAGTCGAGTGGGCTAAACGGCTCCCACAGTGACCGCTTAGTGACTCAAGCTACGGTTAGTGTACTAAAATCGCGCAGAATTTTGGGTGTCTTTTTCCCATTGAGTACGATTGAGTTAAAACGATCGGCCCAACGGGAAACAGAATGTTAGTGCCTTAAGTAATCGCGTTTACTCAAGAAAGGATTGTTTTCTGCCAAATGTCGAAATAGATTCCGCCATTTAATAAAACATACCTACAAATACAACACATAAATATATACAATTTGTGTATTCGCGTGTCTGTCTGTCCGCAGTCATGTATATTTAGTCCGATGTCAATTTTATATTATAATTTTATAAAATATTAAACTGATAAGCTCCTTAATTCTCTTTTGTACGAGTCTTGTGTAAATGTTTTGTTTGTCAATGTGTCTGCAATCGTTTGTACATACAAGAGTAAATCATGTAAATATTTCCTTTTGGTATTCATTCCACGATATTTTATGATGTATTTTTCTCATTATTTATTGTTATATTTTTTCTAAATTTTTTTTAATCGTCGTATACGCTACAATCCAAATAATACGCTAGAAACTCATGTAACAATAGCAATGAATCCATTATTTATTCTCAGACATGTATAACAGATGTATTTTAACTAATTTGTGATGTGTGCTGACCAAGATAAAAATTTTATACTTTAATTTAAGAAATTATTGTTTTTTTACGAGAAGTATTTGTGGCTGAATTCGGCCTAACTCATGGAAATAGACTAAAAAATGAAAAGGTCAAATTTGTATTTAATCTAGCTAATAACAACGAATATTGGAATCATACAATAAATACGAATAAAAAGTTACATTTATAAAAAAAAAGCTTCTCTTAGATTAACTTTGTAAATATAATGCAATTTAGTATGCAAAATAATATAACGCATTAATAAATTTATTTAAAAATATACATTTTGTTTCAATATGAAAATAACTCACGAACCAACGCTAAGAAAATGCTTACTAATAAAACGTGATAAAAAAAAATATTGATTACAAGCTATGTAACGGTCCAACCCAATAAGAGGTCTCAAACCACTCCTTAACCAAGCTATTTTAAATGCTTTCAATAATCTAAGGATCACAATAGCAATGTCCATAACCCGATCTATCGTTTGTTGTGATGAATCCATTTTTGTATTATAAAAACTAATATCAATTTGCAGTGAAAAAGTATTAAATTGTGTCTTTCAATAAGTGTTATATTTTGAGAGGTGTCAACATTACGCAAGTCATCTCGCCAGGGTGACCACACGCCTGTTTCAGGAAGTTTCAAGATTACTTGTGATTTATGAACACCATTTATCTAATGATCTAGGGAAAGTCTTTGAACGCTGACTGCACTTTAAATATCGGCTTGTATTTTGTAAGATCTATAATATATTGTACATTTTCAAGTGTATGTAAGATAATTTGTTAATATTTTTATTGATAGGACGAGGTTGATTTAGCCATAACATCTGTATTCCGTTACGAGAATTAAATGCGTCGAAGATGAATTTGTTTTATTCACACCCATATTATGATCCCTTTTAAATCTGTATTAAATATTAAAAAGGAAACCAATTTTTGTAATTTCAACATTTTTATTAAGAAAACGGAAACAGTGAAAAAGTACATAACTGTAATGCGATTGGTTACATTTGTAAAAACATCTTTTTTACAGTTAAAAACTCAACTAATATTCCACTCTATGCCTTTTTGTCCTTGAATAGAACGAATTTATTATATTGTGTAACAAATAAAAGGTATTTATTTTCATTTAAATATATTTATCAATATAAGCGCCAAAAACTAAACACGTTTAGAGAAATAGGGAACAAAAAGGCATAGAATGAAAACATAGTATCGCATAGTTAGACATAAAGCAGATAAATAACCTCCTCCATATGGATAAATATATAAACCTATTGTTTCATTTTCTGAATAAACTTCGGATAGAGAAAGTTCAATAGCCATTTATTTAGTCAGATAGTGTGACAAAAGGTACAAACTCATATTTCAGCTTTATACATTTACATACATATGTGCAATCGGCCCTTTCGATCGTTCGGATTGCAGTTCCCAGGAACCGATTAATATTAATTACATATGATTTTAGCACTATTTGTCCATAGATTTACTATAATAAATAGATCGACTAAAAGTCACGTACAATTTCGTAATGCATTACTATTTTGAAAAATACAGTACACATATATGAAAAGAATATTTATTCTGGTCTTACAATGATTTGGTTAATTGATCTAAACAATAGGACAAAATACAAAAAAGCTATTTTTGGCGATTGCACTTTTAAATTAGATCTATAAATTCCACCGACCAATCATTTTATTCAAAGTTTAACAAACATTAAAAAGCAAGTCATGTCTATGGTCTGTGTGAAGCTTAAAATTGCATTTGTCAATCTATTTCTTTGTAATAAATCCATGGTTCATAGCTCATAGCATTTATATATTCATAAGTTAATGTACGCGTAAAAAATTACTTAAATCGGTTTAAAATTTAATAAAACACAAGACGTAGTGGCAGATGCCATACTTTGCTCTAACCATACATGTTGTGACCGAGCCGTTCCCTGTCATGGTGGTAAACAAGATTCATAAACATCGACCTATTTTAATGTACTCAAATCTAATGCAACTCGCGAATAGTTTAAATTAAAATAACACAATTTGTCCATTTCCTTAATTGATCAAAGAAATTCAGTCCGTTGAGAACTATGATAGATTGTCTGTAGGAGAAGCGTCACAACATCTAAACATTTCACCTAATATGGACTATCAATTATGCTCTATGAACTTTAAAAATTCCCGTTACATCTATTTACATATATTACAACAAGAAATCATAAATAATATTTCTATACCTTTGATATGAGCTTCCGTTCAGTGCGAGTTGAACCTCAAACTATTACATTGACATTTATATTGAAAAATACAATCAATTCATATACATAATATTTACACAAAGATGCATTTCTGTAGTGGTAGATGTTTACATATATTCCAATGTATATGAACACTTGTATGTTAAAATAATATTAACTTTACAAATATTAAATGAAACTATCCACAAATAGATTGTAAAAATAAAACATAAATTATATATGTATTATATAAATTTGTAAATACATTTAGTGTAAGACAATGGCATGATTTAGTCTGACCAATGTTAGCATAATTAAAAGATGTAATAATATTGAAGTGTCAACTGTGATCTTTATATTTCAATAGGATACAAATAGACTAATTCTCAAGTTAGCTATAAATATTTGAGATATCTTCTTTCTCCGTCTTACACGCGGCTTTAACATTGCGTGTGTTTCGTTCACACTCGCATTGCGTGCATTAAGTGGCTAACTTCATACAAGTGGCAAATACTCAGTGATCACACATTGTATTATGACAAGTATCAACATGGTTTATCTTAACAATACAAACGTAGCAGTCATAAGAAAATTATATTAAAAATACAACTAGATTTTACATCAAAATATGTTTTTATCATTTTTCATAGAACAAGTTTTTAGTTTTTTTTCATTTCTCGACTAGCTTTGGATAAGATATCCATAAAACTCTCTTAGCCCGCACTTTACAAGCAAATATACACAATCTTACAATATACAATTGCAGCTTGAAATGTAAACGAAAAATTCACAAAATAAATCTGGCATCAGTTACAAAATAATTTTTCACAAACATAGGAAGTAATTAGGAAGACCAAATGAGAAAATAAACATTTGAAACAATTAAAATAGGTTTCTTTTTGAATAAAAGTTTTTATTTTTTTTAATCAGAGAGCGACATTTAAAGAATTTTGAATTACATTTATATAATTTTATATTAAAGCCAATAATTGTTATTCAGATATAACATTAAAAAATAGAAGTCTCCAGTAGCAAGTAGATATATTTATTTTTATTTTATTACACCAATTACGTCTGGGTTGAAGCACCATACAATTTGATATCTACCAAAAGTCTCCATTGACAAATACATGAAAGAAATCAATCAAAATTACCAATAAAGTATATAATTGTTTACCAATTACATCAAATTTAATATAAATATAAAAATATGTGTGTACATGATAAATGGCATTGCTTTTGCTATATTACAATGTGATAATGCAAAGAAACAAATAGCCACAAAGTGGATAAATCAGGAATCCTTCCAAACTCTTACTGAACATAATTTAAATAAAATTTTGTTGTAAGAGTCAATACACTTGATAGAGTATAGCACTGCCATATAGTACATAGAGTCTTATTTATATCTTATATACAATGCAGCAGTAAAACTTAAAAATTACATAACAAATTAAGATGTGAGCAGCTGATTAGAGAAAGAAATTATGTGATTAAATAACAAAACTCAAGCGATAAACAGAAACATAATTAATACAAGCCCAATGGATGTTACTGTCACAATGGGCTCCTCATTGACCTGATACATAGACTTCACTCACATCTTCATGTTTCTGACAAACAGCTGTACAAAGACAGTTTTGACAGTAATTAACAGCGCAAATCATCAAAGCGAGAACATATTCAAACCTATTGTATGTCAAATTAAACAAGCTAGCTTCTAACGGCAGTTTAAACTTCAAAAAGAAATGCACAAAGCTAATGTTTTCCATACATGTGCTATGTACCAGGTCATACACCCTCATACACCAAATAAATAAAGCGTCCTCAAGACGCAGGAGCGCATTCTCTTATACTTTTTTTTTACATATAGGTGCAAATGTGATAGTTAAATGCCCACGTAAGCTCTAGTCCTCTTATATACATAGCGAAAACATTTTTTAAATCACAGCGAGAACGCTAACAAGGACTCCACACAGTATTAGATAGAGCGAGACAATTCACTTCGAAGCTTCCAAATTCACTTAGAAAGAGAACATTAAACACAGCGATCAAATTCACATCGCACGAAAAACGTCGAAACACTTGTTCACAAAATATTCTGAACACGCACTAGGAACAGTTTTTAACCAATGTTACTGTAACCGTTCGGAATCGCTTTATTTATTCACTATAATAAAAATATAAGCGGCGATATCCGACGCGCACACTTCCCTAAGCGTTATATCCTATGTCAGTTCCGACAGTGAAGTTTAACAGTTCACTAGCACTGAGCATTGCACACTGAGCACTGAGCACGGAGCACTAAGCACTGCGCACGCTACTCGCTGAAGTAGCGCACCTTGCCGCCGGTGCAACGCACTACGTCCTCCCACGCTGCAAACAACAAACATTCATTATACATCATTTTAATCATAATAAAATTAAATAAAAGATCAGAATAGATTGTGTTTGTGTAAAAGTTGTATGTTTAATTAGAATGAATTGTTAATAGCACTGACCGGCGCCGACGTAGTCTACTATCTGCAGCAGGTGCGTGTGGTGGTG